CGTTGAAACATTGAGTGGGCTAGTCCTTAGTATTCTAGCATTCTGTTTCGCTATCTTGTACTATGTGAAAGAGGTCAGTCCCGGTCAGGTCAGGACTTGTATCTAAATCTTCCACTGTGCTATAAAACACCATTTTGTACGTATCAGAATGCACATTGCTTGTTGAAATTCCACTTGCACTGCATTGTCCATTCAGTCCTTTTTATCACATTGCGGATCCTCGGTTTATATGCACATCGCCCAACTGGGCATGTAACATACTTACCGGATTCGAGACATTGGAGATAGTTGGGATTGATATCTGGCGGCATCACAGATCGGCTCGGATACATTAGGATTCTGTACCTCCGACATTGGTGACTTATGTCAACGACATTCTGATTTTGTTCAGTGACGTGTTGGGCTACTATATCAGTGACATTTTGGATTCTATTTCGGTGACATCTGACGCTGTCCCTACCTCCCACCTCCATCGTCTCTCCTCCCACCATTCATCTGTGTATGGGTGTACGGGGCTGAAGCACCGTCTATGTATGGCTTCAGACCCCACCATCTCACGATTGCTTGTGTGTTGAGTGATGTCTAGGTGAGTTCAGTCTATGTGCGTCAGTCCATATCTCAAACTTCCGCTGCATATATGCTCATCGGACCCATCCTATATTGGTTGATCTTTGGTTCTGCCCATACTTAGCGAATGTATTCGCTAGTATGCAAGAGTTTGGTATCGGAGGCAGACCAATTAAGTGGATCTGCTCACAGTGTAATTCTGATTAGGGAATCCATTGCTTAATTAGCATTGTCTTTTTCCGAATTAGTGCTGCATTTCTATCGAAGATTCAAGTTGCAAAATTTTATTTCAATTCGGTATTCTATTCGGTATTGAATTAGGATTAAATTAGGATTACGATAATTTTTCGGTTTTCTGCATTGGGGAGAAATTTGTGTTTTCTGGAACCATAAACCGGAAATTCCGCGAAATCGCGGAAAATTAGGGTTGAGGTCCGAAATTTTGCCGATTTCCCCCCCCCCTAATTGTTGAAAATTCCGAAAGTGGACTTCGGCCTTCTGAAGATCGGACTATTTTAGGTTGAAATTCCCGAAATTTCACGTTTTTTTAAAAAAAATTCGAGTGTTTTTCCTTTCCTAATTGTCCGAATTTTTTTCCGTTTCGCAGACTGTCCGAAATCGTTTACCCCAGAACTGCAACTTCCGGGAAGTTCACTAACAACGGTGAACTCCCGGACCTTAGATGATGTCAACGGACACCTGATCTGCCGACAATTTAAATTCCGTATTTTAAATAATTATTTAGTCTTTGCGAGGCCCCAAAGCCTCGATCTGCCCTATTGGGCCCTATTTTCTGTACAGTCGGCCGCCCCAAGTGAAGGCAGGCTCGACCCAGGGCCTACAGGCCTACTTTTGGGGTCACCGCGCAACTGGGCAATTTCAGGCAGTTGCGCAGCGCCAGTTGGTTGAGAGCGCCCAGGCCCAGGCTGCCTTTTTCCGTATGTAACTGAGGCAGGCCCTGGGCCAGATACACAACATGGACCGAAAACAGGCCGAGGGCAGTTGGACACGGGCAACCACCAGAGGCCCAGGGCCTGATGCATTTGGACTGGGACACAGCCTCTCTGGGCCTACCGGAAGCTTCTGGGGAGGCGCCCGGCGCAGCCAGGCTTCACGCAGCAGGCAGGCAATTTCCATTTAGGAAAGTGCCTGCCCACGCATTCCTCATTCGAGCACTGGCTGCATGCTGCGCAAGCGCTGCTGCGTTAACGGTGGCCAGCGCTCACGAGGTCACGGGCGAGATGGATGAGCAGGCGGCCATAGCCGAGCTGCGCTGCTGTATGCTGGATGGGGCGCATGGTGGTCCTTGGGTGCACGTGGCATCTGTGAGTGGGGGATCGAGGTTGTGAGTGATACGAGAGACATACCTGGTGCTTGAAGCGAACGGCATTGACCGAGATCTGCTCGTACTTCAGGGGAGCTGTTGACGCCACCAGCGGCATTGTAGATTAGGCTAGATAGGATCTGCCATGAGTAGTCTGAGCGCAGAGTGCCAGATAGGAAGTCGACATTGGTTCTCTGTTGTTGATGATGAGACTATTCGAACATTGTCACTTATGAGCTTGTGCTGTGCTCTTATTTGGTGGGACTCATGTTGCAATTCTGCTTTTGGTTCGAGGTCACGACTATCTGGTCTCATGTGTATGATGGTGCTTGGTTTCTAAGTCCGCTATCGCTCATTTTCCTTGCATCTTATTCTTAATTATTTATTTATTTTTTCGAAATTAAATTGTTCGGGGGAAAAAGATCACCTTTTTATTTTGATTAGGAGTCCAGTCCACATTGGGACAGGGAACTGTATGCTGATTGTTTGATCTGCTCTGCCCCTGTTCCCACCCTCCCTGTCCTCCCCGTGTCTGTGACCACCGAGATCTCCAAGTACCACATCAGCCCGTGTTGATGTCGACGGAACAGGCCTCCGGGGCACTGCCACGACGCAGTGCCAGGATCCCAGTTCGTAGCCACTCTGTGCTACCTCCACGGCCTAAGTATCAGCAACAACGACTCAGCAGGAGAACGACGCCAGCGGCATCCAGTACCAATGCAGCAGCTGCAGTACCGGTAACCGCAGGGATCCTCCCCGCCTGTCCGATCCAAGGGGACCACGAGACTTTGGCAGCTTACCTTCAGCGGGTGCAGGCATTCACAGCAAAGGCACAGCAAGAGGCAGCAGAAGCAGAACATCGGAGGCTTGCCAATGAGGCGGCAGCCCAAGCTCAGCGGACTGCTGAGGCTGACGCAATGGCTCGAGACAAGCGGAACACCGCCAGCGCTGAGTCCTTGATTCAGAAGGAGGGTCAGTGGACAGCTCTACTCCAAGGCATGACCTTTGTGCCTACGGAGGAGCAGGCGGATCCGACACCGGCACCTGGCTAACCTGATGCTGTGCATGATGAGGGCTGTAATGTGGAACAACACGATGCAGACAGTGCACGCGCACACTGGACGGCAGCTGAGACTGACTGTTGCATACTGTAACTGTGCAGACCAGAACAAGAACCGACCTCTCAATACGAAGTACAAGATGGCGTAGCGGAAGACTTAGATACCAATGATCCGAACAATCAGTATTGCAATGCAGCCCTGAACATACATTATCATCATCGTTCCATGGTGTGAAAGGGGTCTGGCGGTTCACACAGGAAGACTGCGCCAGCCCCAACCATACACAGACGAAGAAGAAGGGGGTTAGACGAAGAGGAGGGGAAGATGGGAATGTCGTCAACAC